TTTTTTTTTTTTTTTTTTTTAACTTCAGTCTTCTCAAATAGGGTCAGCCACCAGAAGAAAAGCACAGCTGATGGCAAAGAGAAGGAAGAAGACAAACAACAACCTCAAGTAGAAAAACAGGTTAGGGATTACTTAGAGAGGGTAGACATTTTCAAGTCTGGATATGTTGAAAAGCAGGTTAGAAAAACACTTGACTAGGATGGTTTAGTCAGGGATGATCCTGCATTGATCATCCCTGGACTGGATGACTTCATTAGGTCCCTTCCAGCCCTACTTTCCTATGAATCTAAAACATTAATTTACCCACATCTCATTATATAGCTAGGGTTCAAAATCAGAGCACAGTAATAATGTCTGCTGATATCACAAATGCTCATAATACCTGTGGCCTATTGTGGGAATCTCAAACACCAGTTAGAATAAAAATTATTCTACTTGATGTAAACAATTTTCAGTGCTTGAAGCTGTCCACATTTTGGTTTACAGCTCTGGTCGTACCTAGAGAAACAAATCATGCAACTGGTTGTAGTGGTCTTGAAACAGTCGTCTTAAACAGCCGAGGGAAAATAGCAGATCGACAAGCCCAGACAGGAAGAAGAAACTGGTTTGCTGAACACAGATATGGTATGGGCCACAGTATTGTGCATTTTTATTCTTATATCACTACAAAACATCTGAGTTTTTCAGCTTCACCGAGTCCAAGAGCAGAAATCTATTAATCTTAGTGTATAGCTTGACATTTACAAAAGTCATTTATTTATAGGTAGCATACTTCATGTACGTTATCAAGGCACATTTGTCAGCATGCACCAATGGTTCATGACGTTGGATTAGACATAAAACACGGATAAACTGGCATACCTATAAACTGAGTACACAGAAACAACTTCAGTTCTCAGCGTGTCCTGTATTTTATTATTTACTGTAGGATCTCTATTGATAGTGATCTCTATCCATATTTATGTCATTTTACCTGATAGCAAAGATGAAAAAGGAGAACTCCAGAAAAAATAAGATCATAGGGAGTTATCCTTGACACAGTTGCCATGTTGTCTTTCTATGCCCCCATTTCAGTTAAGATGGAGGGCAGAAAAGAAAACCATGATCCCCACAAATCCCCCACATACTGAGAAATGGAAAGGGCTTGGATGGATATAGGGCAGGGATGGGCAAGGTACCACCTATGGGTTGCATCCAGCCCACCAGGTAATTTCATCTGGTCTGTGGATGGTCACCCACCAATTAATTGTATCCAGCCTGGCCCGCAGCTGCCCCTGCTGTGGTCTGCATGGGGCTGAGCCCTGCCCACTCCTAGTTAGGCAGAGCTCTCAGCCCCAGGCCCGGCCAGCACACAGCTTCTAGGTGGGCTTGCTGCTGCTGCCCCCTCAGGAGCTGCTCAACTCCCCCCACATCCAGCAGCTTCTCCTCCTGTCACTGCTGCAGTGTGGCAGGCAGCAGGTAGGAAAGTGGCGGTGGTGAAGTGAGGCAGCTGCAGCTGGGCAGGAGCATGGGGCCAGGGCTGGCAGGAGCACATGAGGCCACATCTGGCAGGGTAGTAGGAGCGCAGGGACAGGGCCAGCCTGGTTTCATCATGCAGGGCTTCCTGCAGGTCATGCACAGGTCCAGGGACTCATGCACCACTGGGGAGAGTGAGCCCTGAGCAAAGAAGCTCATGGCTTTCCCCACTCCCTACCACCATGCACAGCTACTAGGACTGAGCCAGGAGTGGCTGGAAGCCTGGTGCAATGGAGCCAGGTTGGCTTGTCCCCACTCCCTGGCCAAGTCCCAGGAGGTGCACGTGGGGGCAAGGAGCAGGGCCAGGCCACTGGCTGCTCCCCACTGGCAGCACGTGGCTCTTGTGGAGTCCTAGGAGCTGTACACGAGCCATAGGGAGCCCCATGCAACAAAGCTGGGCCAGCCTGGCCCTCCTGTCTACTGCCACATGCAGATCCCGGGACTCAGCTGGAGCCTTGCGTCTCCGAGAGGGGGCTCCATCTGCATGGGCAATTAGTGCCCTGAGGACTGGACCAAAAGAAATCTCATGGGCTAAGTGCAAACAGTCAAAAAGCCCAAGGCTGAATTGATTCAATTTTTGCAGGTTGGTCAAAACTGTGTAGATTGAACCAGTAAAAAAAAAAGTGAATGGCTGTTCATATGCGATTCTGGAAGTGTAGCTATGTGCCTGCAGTGGCCCAAGCCAGAAGCCAGGGGGCTGCTAGAGGACACCTTCCTGCCAAGCTGGAGCAGACAGTTTGGGCCAGGCTAGCTTGCCCACCCTGTGACAGGGGTTTGCCTGGGATGCTGGGGGACTGAGAGTTAACTCAACTCTGGAGGGGAACTGGGGCAGAAATTCAATACGTTGATTTAACTTAAATCAGTTAAATCTGATACTACATCTATCCAGGTTTATCTTAAACTGGTTTCACCCATTTTGGCTAAGTACAACCTGTCAAAAAGCCTTAGGCTGAATCAATTCAGTTTTAGCAGGTTAGTCTAAAATGCAGAGATTAAACTGAGAAACAATTGGACATACATTCACTTTTGATTCAGCAAACGCAGCCACATACATGCAGTGGCTCAAGCCAGAAGCCAGGGGGTGCTAGAGCATGCCCCTCTGGCTTGCACTCTGTATTCACTTCCTTTTCCTGCTGCCCCCAAGGTCTCTGGGATTTGCAGTCCAGAATCACAGCAGCAGGATTCTGCATGGTTGCTTATCACTTCTTCCTGCTTCCAAATGCCTCTGGGATTTGTGTAACTTCTGTCCCTAGCCTTTGAAAGCAATTTAAATGTGCATTGAACTTCTGTTGTGTTATAGATTCAAAGTTGTTTCCAATCACTTACACCAATTCACATGTAATTTCTGTCCCTAGCCATGAGGTTCAACAAGGACAAGTGCAAAGTCCTGCATTTAGGATGGAAATCCCATGCACCAGTACAGGCTAGGGACCAACTGGCTTAACAGCAGCTCTGAAGAAAAGAACCTGGGGGTTACAAAGGACAATAAGCTGAATATGAGGCAGTGCGCCCTTGTTGCCAAGAAGGCTAATGGCATACTGGGCTGTGTTAGTAGGAGCATTGCCGGCAGATTGGGGGAAGTAATAATTCCCCTCTATTCTGCGCGGGTGAGGCCACAGCTGGAGTACTGTGTTCAGGTTTGGGTTCCTCCCTGCCCCCCCCCAGAAAGGATGTGGACAAGTTTGAGAGAGTCCAGTGGAGGGCAACAAAAGTGGTTCGGGGACTGGGGCACATGACTTCCAAGAAGAAGCTGAGGGAACTGGACTTATTTAGTTTGCAAAAGAGGAGACTGAGGGGGGATATGACGGCACCTTTCAAACTACCTAAGGGTGGTTCCAAAGAGGATGGAGCTAGACTGTTCTCAGTGGTGGCAGAAGGAGCAATGGTCTCAAGTTGCAGCAAGGGAAGTTTAGGTTAGATATTGGGGAAAAACTCTCACTAGGAGGGTGGTGAAGCACTGGAATAGGTCACCCAGAGAGGTGGTGGAAGCTCCATCCCTGGAAGTTTTTAAAGCCCAGCTCAAAGCCCTGGCAGGAATGATCAAATTGTGGATAGTCCTGCTTTGAGCA